CGAATTTGACGCAAAATTAGACATGTAATTTTATACAGAAGGAAAAGTAGGCAAAGTTTCCACGAACCCAATTTACGGCATAACTCTCAGATGGGTGTCTGATGCACTTAAGCGAGTTCTATATATAATTAGCAATAAAGTTTTCTACTCACCATACACCATAATCGCCAACTCCGTACACAGAGCTTCGCATTCGTCCATGCTGTGCGATGTCAACACCAACGACGTTCCGAGAGATTGAATCTTTATCAGGTGTGCAATAATTTCCCATCCCCTTTAAGGCATTTCTTAATCTTACCCTCGCAAAAATATTCCAGATGATTCTGCGCGCCTTCGGATCCACACCTGTTGTAGGTTCATCGAGCAGCAGAACTGGTGGTAATCCTATTAAAGCTATTCCAAGTGAAAGACGACGCTTGTTGCCGCCACTTAACAATGAATGAATTTAAGTCTTCTTTTTCACAAAGTGTTGAGATTTAAGTCCTTGGATTTCGATAACAATGTTTAGCAAATCAATATTGGCAAAATCTTTTATGAAACTGCTTTGACTTTCAGGCTGGCACCCAGCACATCAAGTACTAAATGCTTAAATTCAATAAGCATTACCTGTAGCCTTTGATTTGCCTCTTTGCATACATTCCAATACCAATTGTATGAATTACAGCATCAACCTAAACAAAATAGTTCTTAAAAGTAAGCTATTTGCTAGCGCTAGTTGATTAATGAACCAACTGCACTTGTTTCATCATTTTAAGACGCTCCCAGCTTCTAACTCCCCTTACCTTTTCAGGTATATCCTCTCGAGGAATTCCACGAATTCGTGCGAACATATATAAAGTCTCCTCGCCAGTCATCTCTTTTAGAACAGCATCAAACTGGGGGCAGTAGCCCATATTAGCACCTGCCTGAAAGGATAAATACAAACGCTAAGCAAAAATCAGGGTGACGAAATTAAAAAATGATTGGCAAATAGACTGAGGGGGATTATAATATTGGATGCAGTTAAAGACAGTCATTTCATTTCAAATAAATCCTCTAAAGTTTTTCACCAATTTAATTCACCGATATGTCAAACATTGAATCAGTTTTCGATTCAATCTATTGCGTCTCTATTTAGCGCAAAAATCAAAAATTTTTGAAAAGCGCTACATAATATCGTCACTTATAAATAGGCCATTCATGAACTTATTTTTGCTCCACCCCCTTCTCCGACTTCCGGAATTTTTGTAAGGATAATAGCTTAAGCTGTGTTATGTTTAGTGCATCTCTCAAAAAATTGTGACATAACGTCAATTCGGATTATGTCACACTTTGTTAAGAGAGCGTAACTGCTTCTTACAAACTGAAATTCTTTAGCATCAAGGCAGAACTAGCTTTCACACCTCTCCAGTTAATCTACAGAAAGTTGTTGTTGGCAAATCATAAATCCTCCTTTGTGGACAAAAGTAAATTGGCATAAACTTATTCTTTTTTCCAATCTTTGATTTTTTAGAAAGATTTTAAAGAATCTGACCAGTAGCAGCTATAGCATATAATAGACTGTCGATGAGAGCCCCGAGCTTATAGAGGAATTTTTGAAAAATCGTGATATATAAGATTGGCGCAAAAGTTTCTTTCGTTTTTTTTTTGCGCTTTTGTCATGTCGTCGCGCAGTTTTATTGTCGATAAAATATTATGGAATAGCAACATTTTAGCTTTCGAATATACGAGTTTGCTCTACGCAACGGATAGAGTCACAATGCAGTTGCTTAATCTCTCAACCAGCTCCAAACAACTCAGTAGTGAAACTCAACCACCTGTAATTTACTCTAATGACCTAGCGTAGAACTTGATCAATCTGATTTCAAAAGAATCATTAGAAAGAGCTTTGCTTGAGCTATTTGCAGAGCGCAACAAATTTCCCTGGAAATCCTCCTCTTGTAATAAAAATTTTCCCTACAGGTCCGATCTCAAGTCAGCACTAATTTCCGAAAGATACTCGTGGATTTGCTGTATTTGCTGCTGTAATTTTCACAAGCCATTTCTGGTGGTAACGTCATTGGCTGCCGTAGACAAATGTGTAAAGGACGTGCTTGCTTTAAAAATTCAGTATCAGCCACTTAAGAGTACTTAAGATTTAATTTTTTAATACTTAAGATTCAACTTTGAAAAAATCGTACAATACTGGTGTCTTTCCTTGAGAATTTTCACTGTTATCGTTGTAGTACTTGAAATTTTTTCCATTCAATTTTATTTATTTGTTTAATCTCTGGATATGCTGCAAAAGTGTTAGTCTTTGTTTGTTCTTGCAATAATTGTCAATCTAATAGTGAGGTACTAACCTTTCTCCAATCATTCTTCACACTCCAACCATTAACAAAAGCATCTCCATCACTAATGTCATTTTCTCCTGTCAACATTTGGAATGTAGTCGTTTTTCCAGCTCCATTTACTCCGAGTAGGCCAAAACATTCTCCTTGTTTCACGTGAAATGTCACACCTTTCACCGCTTTCAAATTACCAAACCTTGATATATAGATGTTAGCTAGGTATGTTATATTGTTAACTGTCAATTAATCCTTACTGTTTCTTTACGTCATCGACAATAACAGCTGCATCTTTCCTATCCATCGATTTCACACGATTTTTCTCTGCTATCACATCGCTATCTTCACCAGTAAATACAGCATCGCTTTCCAGGCGCCAATTTTCAATCTGCAATTCGCGTTCTTCTATCTCTTACTTTCACTATCATATTGTTCAGTATTATATTTATATCTGTTGTCACCTGTGAGTCTGCAATTCGATTTTTTCTGGCTGCTTTAAAGTATGCCAGGAGCCGCCCAAATAGTTTGTTTTCACAAGCAAATACTAGAAACCAGAAGATGAAACCCTAGAATTATATAGGTTAGAGAGAAATGATACGCAACAGATTGATGTAGTTTTAGAAAAATACTGCGAAGTGCAACTTACAAACCTCTATTGCAAAAAAAATTACTGGATACAATATGCCCAATTTTCCCGAATCCGTAAGAATATGATTCGTGTAGATTCTATCTGGAAATTTTATGTTTCAAGTAAAATTTATGAACCGAAAAGAAGGTAT